GTTTGGCTTTCTTCCTTTGTATAATTCGTATGGGGTTTTCATGAGTATCGGTCTAATGACGGCTCGGTTTAACACGTAGCTCGCGGTACTCACGGCATCCGCCCAAAAATACTTAGGAATTTTTGCCTCATCAAGCATAGTTCTAGCCATCTCCTCAAGGCAACGATTTTTACGTTCCACCACGCCATTTTGTTGTGGTGTACGTGGAGCAGAGAAGTTATGCTCGATGCCTAGTTCGTCACAAAACTCGGTAAAGAGATCTCAATCGAACTCTCCACCATGATTGCTTCGTATGGTTGCGGTGGTTAAGCCTTTTTCATTTTGAATCTTTTTGAGAAAAGTTTTGAAAACATGAAATGCCTCACTTTTATGAGTTAGAAATAATGTCCATGTGAATCGAGAGTAGTCATCAACAATCACAAAGGCGAAATAGTTTCCCCCAAAACTTTTTGTTCTTGATGGTCCAAAGAGATCCATGTGCAAATGTTGTAGGGGCCTTGTTGTAGACACAACATTTTTTGATTTAAATGAGGCCCTTACTTGCTTGCCCTTTTGACATGAATCACAAATGGTGTCCTTCTCAAACTTGAGTTTTGGAAGGCCAACTACTAGGTCTTGTGAAACCAATTTATTCAAAAGATTCATGTTGACATGAGCTACTCTACGATTCCATAGCCACATATCGTCCTCCTTACTCATGAGACATTTTGCAAAGTCGGAGGGAGATTCATCTAAGTTAACCATGTAAATGTTATCAATTCTATCACCACAAAGAATCGTCTTATTGTCACTAAGACGTTCTACCGTACATGATTTGGAATCAAAGGTCACACGATTTCCCTTGTCACACAATTGACTTATGCTCAAAAGATTGTGTTTAAGACCCTTAACCAACAAAACATTATCAATAGAGGATTTTTCGTTTTTACCAACCAAACCAATGCCGATTATCTTGCCTTTGCTATTATCGCCAAAGACAACGTTTCCTCCTTTAGTTGGTTTTATTTGCAAAAACTTGGATGCATCTCCGGTCATGTGCTTGGAGCATCCGCTATCAAGGTACCAAAGTACACTTGATGCCTTCAAGCACACCTACAAACCAATTTAAAAAGATTTAGGTACCCAATTCCTTTTGGGTCCTTGGGCGTGAGGTGCACATTGGTAGTGTGATTGGTTTTGAGTGCAATGCCTATGCCTAGTGAAACAAACTGGGGCTATATGTCCTACCCTATTGCAATAATGACAAATAACATTTGGATTATGCATTCTCCTAGGTTGATAATAGTTACTAGGTTTTCTATATTGCTTGACCCTAGTTTGAGAAAAGTTTTGTTTATGCACATTTGGAAAATGGTTTCTAGATTCTCTAACTTGATCATTGTTTATCCTAGTGTTCTTTCTAGGTGGTCTAGTGTTCCTGGTTGATGTAGGTTGTCTATTATTGTTCATTTTAGTTTTCCTAGGTTGAGCCTTAGGTTGTTTAGGTGGTTGCTCAACTTTTTCCTTATTATTGGTTTCATTTTCAAATCCTAAGCCATGTTTAGTAAGTTGCAAATTATCAAGGACATCATTGAGATTTTGTGAGAAACACCAAACTTCTTTAAGGTTCCTTCAAGTTTTGCAACTTGTTCTTTAAGTGATGTACATGAACTACATTTTGAACTCTTCGGTTTGTCGGCGCTTCTTTTTCCGAAAAACTTATTTTCTTCTTTGAGTCTTTCATTATCTTTTGATAATTTATCAACTTCCTTCTCCATGGAAGTAAGCTGTTTCTTTAAATCCTTGTTAATTTTAGAAGCATTGACATATTCATCATAGAGTTCATTAAAAGCTTCTTGTACATCATCCAGAGTATAGGAATCTTTAGAAGTGGTACATACCTCTTCCGGTGGTTCCTCGTGTGCCATGAGCCAAAGGTTGGCGCTTTCATTCTCTTCGCCTTCCGATGACTCATCGCCGGAATCACCTCCCCATGAAATGTAAGCTCGGTGCTTCTTGAACAGTTTCTTCTCCTTCTTGTTTTTGGCATTTGGGCATTTTGGCTTGATGTGCCCAACTTCTCCACACCCATAGCACTTGGGTGGTCCTCCATGCTTTTTGCCCTTTCGTTCATACTCTTTTCGCATGAACTTGTGGAACGTTTTGATGACGAGCCCGAACTCGTTGTCCTCATCTCTTGATTCCTCCATGGCGGGTTCTTGGCTTGAGGTAGCCTTGAGTGCAATCCCCTTCTTCTTTTGTTCACTTAAAGAAGGGAATAGAATGGTGGACTCATAGGTTTTGAGGTTACCTCTAAGTCCGTCAATGGTGACATTGGTGATGCCGATGGACTCTTGAATGGCATCGGCTTTAGCTTCTCGGACTTGATCCATACCTTCGTAGGTGATTTCTAGTTTGTCCCACATTTCCTTTGCGGTGGTGCAACAAGAAATCTTCCGGTAGTCATCCGGGTTAACGGCACAATAGATGATGTTGATGGCCTTGGAATTGTTTTCCACTTTCTTGATGTCTTGTGCATCATATTCATCCTCGCTCTTAGGGACGTTGGTTTCCTCGACCTTCTTCATTGGCACGTCCTCACCATTTTTGATAATTCTCCAAAGGAGAAAGTTTGTGGATTGGATGTAAATCCTCATCCGCTCCTTCCAATAGGTGTAGTTTGTTCCGTCAAACAATGGAGGCCTCGTGGTGGATTGCCCTTCACCTAAACCTGCGTATGAACTTTGAGTAGAAGCCATTGATCGTTTCTCTCAAACGGTTAAGTCTTTAAGAGAGTATTGCTATGATACCAATTGTTAGCATAAAGGCCCAATGCTAGAGGGGGTGTGAATAGCGTTTAAAACAAAATCGCAGGAAATTAAAAACGAGAGCGTTAAAGTAAAGAGCGTAAGGAAGGAGCACACCGAATTTTAACCTGGTTCACCACAACGTGTGGCTAATCCAGCCCCCCGAGAGACTCTCTCGAGCTACACTAACTCCGTTAAGCTTAAGGGTGCTTAACAAACCGATACAACTTGAGAACCCGAGTCACACGAGCCTCAACACCTTTGCTCGGAGATACCGCACTCCAAGACTTCTCACGAAGGAACAAGAAACTTCCTTCGAGTTTACAACAAGGGAACAA